AAATATACCTCATTACTTCATAATATTAAAGAACTGTACTCTTTTGATGAACCCATTACCAGTTAAATTTTATATTTATATTATTTTATTATGAAATTATTTATTAAATAATTCAAAAGCAAAAATTCAATCGTGATAACAAGTATTATATGTATATTTTCTTGATTACGAAATTATGATTATTCTACTATTAAATAATCCAATAAGGAAAAATTCATATTCTAAAAGTAATCATCTGTTGTATTTTAGATAAACTTTTTCAAAATGCTTCCTTTTGATATTAATAATTGTATTAAGTATTAATAATTAATAAACTGTCCCTTATGGACAAGAGCTCCTTAAACTTAAAATATTTTGCTTCGGATATGCCATGAATAGGTAACTAATTTAATCTAAGAATAAAAACCTGAAAGAGGATTGCATGAGAAATGGGATATTTTGCATTTTCAAAAATTTCTCTATAAAAATATTTGATGAATGAATTTCTTATTCAGAAGCTAAAAAATTTCCATCAAGAGAGAAACAGACTGAGTAGACATAATGAGTATGACCATCTAATTTGGCTTTTTATTATCCTGTTTTGACATCCCATAGACCGATAGACTTATCTACACTACCAGAAGCTAATGTATTTCCATCAGGAGAGAAACAGACTGACAAGACACCCCTAGTATGACCATCCAATTAATATAAATCGTTTATTCTTAATTGTTACCAAATAAATCCAAATAATTTAGCTCCATTTAAATTAATTCCATTGATATTCACATTTTTAAATTAAGTATTAGATAAATTGCATTTAGCAAAATTACCCCCGTATAAATTAGTATTTTCAACTCTTATATTTCCAAAATTTTAGTTTTTTAGATCAACTTTCATTTCAACCAAATATTAAGTGCATTATTCCACTTATAATAAAATTTTTATCAATTTTGGTAAGATGTACTAAGAATTTCAAATATTCAATTATTTTAGCCTCTTTTAATATTTTTTAAATGAGGTATTATCTAGTTTCAGTATATATTTCCGTCGAATAATTAATAGAATTAAAATCATGCTTTATTATGATTTTGATTAAACTACTAATTTAATCAATAGTCTATTCAAAAGCATCTAATTATTTTTTTTTTACAAAAGAGATGAATTTCTAATTTAATTATAATTCTAGGCATAGTTTTGCTTGAGAATTTTGAGAAACTCTAAGCAATCCTAATTTTGATTCTCTTCTTTTGCCAACATTTCTATTATAATATTCGTAAATTAAAATTAGCACCTTTTTATTAGACAAGCGAGCAACTTCTAATAACTTTTTTATAAGCTCCGTTTTAATCATCATAATTAAAAAATTCACTTAGCGATTGGTCTTCTGTTCTCTCATTTTAATATAAAAATCCTTGCTACTTATATTAAACTTATGTCATTTAATTCTTACTCATTATTTTTGCAAATCTAATTGAGTATTCTAATAGATCATGCATAAAAAGATCAGTATCTATTGATTTTCCAAAATTTTTCTGTTTTTCGATTTATTTCATTTGGTAATAATTGATAAACTCACAATAAAATTCATAAATTGTAAGATCGTATTCTTTTAATGCATCATTAGCAAATAAGATTATTTCTTCCTATTAGATTGTTATTTTCTTAAATATCTTATTTGGTAGCTAAAGATTAGTTTCAAATATATTTTCAAGTTATTTATGCACTCCTACAGATTCTTAAGAGATTTACGATTATTAAGGAATCAAATTTTCTTCCAAAATATTCCAAACTTCAAAAGCAATTTAATAATAATCAATAATTTCCAAGTTCTGCAAATCTTTATGAGTAACTTCTAAGAATTCATCATAATCAACTTAAATTTCTGCTTCAGATTCTTTATTAACTTTATTAATTGACTCCTACAGATGCCTTTTCTGTTGTGATTTATACATTTGAATTTTGTATTTACTTATGTAGAATTCTTTCAACAACTTTGAAAATTCTCCAAGAAGGTTTATTTAATGTTAATAATCTTTTTAAGAATCATGTTGGGCAACACTTACACTATAATTTCCATCATATATGGAGTTTCCACTAATTTATTTAGATTTACCGACGTCATCATATCTTCATACTTTTAAAAACTCCATAATTTTTGTAAATTTATGCTCAAACTTCTAAGAGCTTCATTGCTTTAAAAAGCAATTAACTCATCATCCTTCAAAAATTAAAATACTGATTATTTATTTTTCATTCAAAAGAGTCTCAGATTTCCACTTTACTTCATCAATTTCAAAAATGATAACTATATCTTTTCCCAACTCTGTTCAAACCTTTTAAAATCCAGAGCTTTTTGGTTTTAAGTTGAGACTTACCATTCATTTATATCAAAAATTAACATATAAATACTTTAAATCGTAAATTCCTTAAGATATTCTTATTTTTAAATCTATTCAAACTGAAGTAGCTAGATTTCTTTAAATTTCTATTTCTCTTCCAGCGCAAACCAGTCGCCATAATTGCTGCTCGTAAAAATGTCACTTCTGGTGGTAAAAATAACAAGAGGGTCTGACCAATTTTATTTGAGCTTATTATTAATGTATAAATTTTTCTAAATATTCTCTAGCTTCATTTCATCATAACTGTCCATTATTAATATGAATCGGAATTCTTTCTTTTACAACATTTCTTTACATTCTTTCAACTAGAGAGCATCAAACCCATAATCAGCTTATTTAAGTGATTCCTCTACTGCTTAAAAAACAGGGTTTTTTAAGAGGGTAATGAAATATAAACAGGTATTAGTACATAATTCCCAATTTTTTTATTACTATCATGTAATTTCCAAATAAACTCTTCAATTTTTTTGGCTGTAGTAATTTTGCCGGATCCAGCTAATCCATGAATTAGCAATACTATTTTCTCTTCATATAAAAACTCATTCACTTCTCCATCTTATCATCAAATTAATCTAAATTCATCAAATTACTGATCTCATTTTTACCTCTCTCTTAAGTTTTTAATGGTATAGAGATGGACTTAACATTTTTTTCTGCTGCTTCCTTCAACACTTTCCATTTTCTAATTTCAAGTAATTATATAACTGATTTTCCTCTCAAAAATTTAAAATCATTCCCCATGTTGTTGAGTTGCTCTTTTATTTGATTTATTTTTCCCTCAACTCTTAACAAACCCTTTCTGATATGATTTACAAAATCAGTCACTAACCTGAGTTATTAACCCATTTCGCTGATATTTTAAATGTATTCATCCAATTACTGAGTTGTCTCATCCATTTCTTTCAATTATAGCTCTCTTTTGTTAAGATTTGCCTCCTG